GGGGAGAGAGGAGAGGGGAGAGAGGAGAGGGGAGAGAGGAGAGGGGAGAGAGGAGAGGGGAGAGAGGAGAGGGGAGAGAGGAGAGGGGAGAGAGGAGAGTGGAGAGAGGAGAGGGGAGAGAGGAGAGGGGAGAGAGGAGAGGGGAGAGAGGAGAGGGGCGAGAGGAGAGGGGAGAGAGGAGAGGGGAGAGAGGAGAGGGGGAGAGAGGAGAGGGGAGAGAGGAGAGGGGAGAGAGGAGAGGGGGAGAGAGGAGAGGGGAGAGAGGGAGAGGGGAGAGAGAGAGGGGAGAGAAGGAGGGGGGAGAGAGGAGAGGGGAGAGAGGAGAGGGAGAGAGGAGAGGGGATGAGAGAGGAGAGGGGAGAGAGGAGAGGGGAGAAGAGGAAGAGGGGAGAGAGGAGAGGGGAGAGAGGAGAGGGGGAGAGAGAGAGGGGAGAGAGGAGAGGGGAGAGAGGAGAGGGGAGAGAGGAGAGGGGAGAGAGGAGAGGGGAGAGAGGAGAGGGGAGAGAGGAGAGGGGAGAGAGGAGAGGGGAGAGAGGAGAGGAAGGTAGGCAAGCAAGAAAGGAAAGGAGACATGGTGTCTGTGCTCATGTTGTGGTATCGTGCGGTGCTGTGTGATGTGGCGTGGTGTGGTGTGACGGGTTCCCCCCTGCTTCCGTATCCATCCATACGTAAACGAGTTTGCACATATGTGATGCACCATGTCTAACACGCAGCAGACACATCACTATGTCAAATTGAATACACTGCAAGTGGCAAGTCACGGCCTACAGGACATGCCACAGGCTACAGGGCAAGTGAGGCCAAGTGACGGCTTACCAGCTTGATGAGTGGGAAGATGCCAAACGCGCTCACCACCACACACCCCACCACATCCACACTCACTAACACACACAGCATACTCCTCTCCTCCTCCCCTCCCTCTCCCTCCCCCCCTCCCCCTCCCCCTCCACCCCCTCCCTCTCCCCCTCCCCCTCTCCCCTTGCCAGCAGGCATGTGCATCCACCACCGCTCATCCTCGGGCGCGCGGGCCCCGTCCACGTCAGCAACTGAGTCAGCAGGCATGGAGAGGTAGGAGGCCGAGGGAAGGGAAGAGGCGGGTGGAGTCCGGGGGAGGTAGATATGAGTGAGGTCGTGGTAGGGGCCATGGGGGAAAGGCGGGGAGGGGGCGGAGGGGGGGAGCTTGGCGGTGGAGGAGGAGGAGGAGAGGGGGGAGAGGGAGGGGAGGTTGGCGAGGAGGGAGGAAGGGGAGAGAGGAAGGGAGGTGCTGGTGGCAGTGGCGGTGGGAGCAGGACTGGCATTGGGAGGAGCAGTGGTGGAGGAGGGGGAGAGGTGCAGGGAGGACCACGAGAGGGCGGAGAGAGGGGCGGAGTGGAAGGAGGAGACCTGATGAATGATGTCTCCGCCCTGCAGGGGGACCAGGAGAAGAGGGGAGGGGGAAGGGGGAAGGGCGGAAGGGGAACGGGTGAAGAGGGGAATGGGGGAAAAGGGGGAGCAGTGTTGGGGAGAGGGAGCGAGACCTGGTGGGGACTTGGTCGCCCCCTTGCAGGGTGGAGACCTGGAGGATGATGTCTCCGCCCTGCCGGGGGGTATGGGGAAGAGCGAGTTGGGGGGGGTGGGGGGAGATTGAGAAGAAGGAGAGATGGAGGAAGGGTTGCAGAGTGGATGGAAGAGACCTGATAGATGATGCCTCTACCCTGCAGGGGAGAAGACGAACTAGTTCCAGGGGTATGCTGCTCCATCCCCCCATTCTCCGTACTTGCCTATATTATAGGGTGCTTAAAGAGAATGTGAAACAATATGATCTGGTATTAGAATCCTCACTCGGTCCCTCGCTGCACTCGTATTGATCACCGTCCATTTCACTCTGCTTGTTTGGAAACGAAAGGCAAGACGCAGACACACACACACATGAGGGCTGACCTCCACGTGGCGGTACACGATGCTGCCATCTGTATGCCCTGTCAGAATGGCCCGCCCATCTGGCCGCCACGTCAGCGCAGTCACAGGCACCTCTGGCGGGAAGGAGGAGGGGAAGAGAGCAGCAAGGGAGGGTTACACTGTACTACTTATTTGGGCGGACAAAAAGGGCAACACAACGAGACTGAAAGAAGCATCGGAATGATTGTTCATATCTGAAACCAACAGATTCACCCACCGATTTCATAAGTTTTAACAGATTGATCAACCACATTCCCCAGTTACCAAAATCACAAATTCCATTCCAAGTTACCAGAATTTCACCCCAAAGTTAAAAATGGTTGATTCACCAGAAATGGCTGCCCAGAGGCGCTGCCAGTTGAGGCGAAAAACGAGGAGATGCTGGTCGCGACACACGAGGGCCAGCAGGTCCTTGTCGCCACTCCACTCCGCCAGACATGCCTGACATTGAGGGGAAGAAAAAAAGCCAAAGTCACAAGATTTGCCTTATCAACCGCCGAGGTAAAGCTGCAGGCACACGAGGGCTAGCAGGTCCTTTTCGCCACTCCCCTCCGCCAGACATGCCTGAGACGGACAGGAAGAACGAAACAAAATTGATTGTGACGGCCAGACGAGGCGTTCTATTTCCAGACACCTGGTCACGGTGACACACACAACGGCCAGCAGGTGCTTGTCGCCACTCCAATCCGCTAGACATGCCTGAGATGGAAGGTAAGGGAAAGAACTTATTGTGAAGGACGAACAAAGAACCAAGGACCTGCGAGGCAAGCGACAGACCTGCGAGGCAAGCGACAGACCTGCGAGGCAAGCGACTGTCCTGTGTGGCAAGCGACTGACCTGCGAGGCAAGCGACTGACCTGCGAGGCAAGCGACTGACCTGCGAGGCAAGCGACTGACCTGCGAGGCAAGCGACTGACCTGCGAGGCAAGCGACTGACCTGCGAGGCAAGCGACTTCTCCTGAACGACAGTGAAGCTGGCAGGCATGGCAGCAGGCGTTAGCAGGAGAATTCGACGTGGCTAATACTGGTTCTTGTAATCGCAAACCGCGGTGCGCACTGCAGCCTGCATTCTCTCTAGCCTATGCTGCACATACTGCAAATCTGCTACGAGATAACGCGAAGCAGAAATGTCAGAAGCATGTTATCCTGAGGTTTCACCACACGAAAGTGGACTTCGTGCCCTCCCTGTGTCCCTTTCTGATCATATATGCGGCTCAAGGAGGCTCTCTACGATGTAAAGTGGTCGAATCAGCGTTTCAAAGGGTGTTATGAATGAACTTGCAGAGTGCGCAGAATATCGAATAACGAGAATGAACTGATTACTGAATGAAGAAACAATGAAGTAGCGAGGCCTAAATAGGGGAAAACCTAGCTAGGCGGGAGGTTCGGGATGGGATGGCTCGGTGATGGTTGCGATTGGAGCGGAGGCCGACTCGGGAGTGGTTCGGTGCGACGAAATAGGAAGGACAGGTTCGTCGCGTGACCCTCGGGATGGCCTCGCTAACGAGTGCCTCAGTAAGGATTTGTAAATCCTTACAAAGGGGGTCTCGATCATGCTTCCGAATGCCTTTTTGCTGCGAAACTCTCTTCTGGTTTAGTTGTTATATGGGAAAAAAGGAAGCTGACCAGGCCTCTGGATAGGATTTGGGGCACTCTTACTCGCAAGGCCAGTTCGCTGAAGTTGGTCTTTCAGTAAGGGTGGGTCAGCCATGTCAGTCTTTTTTATCAGTGTCAGCTGGAAAGGTACTCTTGCTCATCAGTGTGCACATTGTTTTCACCCTTTCATGTTTAGACTTAAGCGTGGATTACATATTAAAGATGGCACTAACTAACAGAGCAACTAAAGCACCAGTGCCTGGTTCTAACAGAATAAGCTTAGCAGTGAGCACAAGTTAATACGGTATAGGAACTCTTGAGCAGGGCGGCGCTTCTTGCCAGCATTGAACATTGCTACCGTATGCATGAGCCCCGCGAGTGAAACTCGACTTAGGTTGCTGCCGCCACTTCTGCCGTGCCGAACACGAAACAGATTTCAGCTTCTTGGCAGCACAGTTGTGAGCAGCAGCGGTATTCTCCATTACATGTGTTGTGCTTTTCGTGGTGTCAGTTCAGGCGTCGTGGTGCACGTCACGCCCCGCTTCAGCCAGCGCGGTCTCAGCCTCAGTAGAGGCAACGACGGGCTCTGGTTCAAGCAGTCGCTTAGAAGGCACTGTTAAAAAGCGAAGGCCCTTTCATGAGGGTGAGTGCAGGACCTGACGACGAGCCTCGTCGTCATCCTCACCGCTGGTGACAACAGCCATGACGAGGGACTTGGAGGTAGATGCTGGAGCTATGCTTATAATAGCAGCAGGAAGGCGTGGTCTGCAAACCCTAGACGAGACCACGAGGAGGAAAACTGGATGAATAAAATGAACTGACTGGGTTGGGGTTGGGTGAGAGCGGCTGGTCGGTGGGTGGGGGTCTGGTGGGGAGGGAGGAAGGGACCAAGCAGGACTCTCCTGGACGATGCACACCTGTGTGGCGCTGTGTGTCACCGCCAGGCAGGCAAAATGCATGTGGTACGGGTACAGGTTGCGGGACTGTGGCTGTGGCGACGCGAGCGGTCTTGGCGACGCGCAATTCTGGTGACTCGGGCAAATCGCCGCTAATCGCGGCAGAAATCACGTCGGTGAATCAACCCCCCCCCCCCCCCCCCCCCCCCCCCCACCTCCCCCCTAAAAAATCGCATCAGGGTGGTACCCAACACTACTCGTTGTCATCAGGACGAGTACACCAGGTCGGTCTGAAATATCAGTGTTACACAAAAATTCACTTTTTATTGTAAGGGCGCCCTAAAATACAACTCTGTAAAATCAGGGTGAACACCTAAACCCACCCTTATAGTAAGGGCCATAAGGGTGATTTACCCTGATATCAAGAGGCCTGAAGCTAACACAAGTACTGAAAGTAGTTAGGCTACTTAATATTCATAGACAGGTAGAAGATTATAATTGATAGGTGAACACATAAATATCAGTTATGCATTATCCTATATTTAAACAGTATGCCATTGTGATGGGCTTTTTCACCAAGCTGGCTGGATAAATAGAATAAATGAGTATAGTGTATCAGTCCTAATGCTTACATATGTTTACATTATACTGTTGTGCTGCATCTGTATCGATTTGCATATCTTTTCCCGCGCCCTGGATGACACCACCACACCACCAAACTGACCTCCTGACCCTTGCTGCCACGTCGATAACCTTTGAAAATATGCTTGGCGCGAAAAGTACGAATATATCCAATGACAGAAGCTGCGCACCGTCGATCTCTATGACATACACCATGCCATGCTTTGATCCAACGAACGGTACTCGTCAGCTGACGTCCTTCCCTCGTGCGGCACGGATCTACCTCGATTGTTCCGCGCGCATCCTTGCCTGGCGGAAGGCGGAAGAATCCTTTTCTTGTGCGCTGTTCTGGCGTGGTGCGTGCGTGATGATGGTTCAAGCGCAACTGTCAGCGAGCTAACAAGCGGGGAAGCATTTTCTACTGCCTGACAATTACGAGGGTTTGGTTTTGGTTTGGTCTGGCAGGACAACCAAACGACCAAACAAGGCAACCATATTTATTCCACCAGCAGTCCATCTCACTCGGTGTTTGTCATTCATTGGGCGTTCGCTTGTGGTTGTCCGTTCCTCGCTCCCTCCCTTCCCTAACCTCTCCCTTTTCCGCGTTTTCTTCCTGGGCCTTGGATCTGTCTTTTTTTCCCGCCTTTCCCGCTTTCCGCATGGGAACATTCTGTGTGATCATTTCTGTGTAAGGTAGCAATTGCATGTAGCATGTAGTGAGACAGGATCAGCCTTTTGCATTACTAACTGGGTCATTCCTTAGTCTTAGCAATAATGGCGGTAAGCTTCTCGTCGTTTACTTCTCAGTTTAGTAGAGTTAGGCCTAATTCAGAGGCTCAATTGGCCTCCGCTGGCATTCTTGGCTCACGACCTGGTTCCGAGTGTTCCGGGTCTTCGCGGTTATCCGCGGTTAGTCTAGGCTCAAGTGAAAGATCAAGCCTCGCGGTTTCAGCATCATTTGGAGGCGCGTCTCGATCGCCATTGCGCGCCGATGACGGCCATGACAATTTTACCGGCTTGCCGGTTCACAGCGGCGTCGTCCACAGAACGGGACGGTCGCGACGCTTCGGAGAGAAGCTCAAACAGCGACGACGAATGGTTTGTCGCGCTGAGAGCTTAAACGGCAGCAGTAGCAACAACGGCAGGATAGGCAGCTTAGTATTTCCCGCAGCTCCACCCTTCGGTTCCATAGCTGGGGAGTCAGATCGGGACGCTAAACTTGCGCAACTCAATAGGGTGAATACTGGAAATGAGTCCGTGGCACGGCGGGCAGAAGCGGAAGATACGGCGAGTGTTGGCGCCGTGTCGGGGTTGCTCCAGCAGCAGCAGTCTCCGCCAGTCCTCGAGGTGGTCCGGCAACTCGAAGCGAAGATGAATGAACCGTCCGCGGTGCTGGAAAGCATGAAGGTAGGACCTTATAATTCTTACCGCTTCTCTCCATGATTTGTAGTGTCCCCGTTTCGCGCCTGTGTCCTCCATTTCCCTTCTCCCTCCGTTTTCCTTTCTCCATTTTCCTTGCTCGTTTTCGCTCACGTGCTCTTCCCGCTTCCCCTCCTATCCCTGTTGCGCAACCGTAACAATGCGTCTTAGAACCACTTCTTACTGAGGCTCAAAGATTTTTATTCGTTGTTCCCATGCAGGATATGCTGACGGTTGAAGATCTCGAGACTCTTATTGCTTACCTGGCGCAACGAGGTCGCGACATGTGGCAAGCCCTCGAGGTTTACGACTGGATGGTTCGCGAGAACCGTGCTCAACGCAGCACGCGTCGACTCACCCTCGTCATCATGGACCAGCGGCTCGGGCAGCTTTTACAAGAAGCCTGCCCGACGGAAAACATTTTGCGCCTGGTGGTGCGCATGCTGGAGCTGGAGCTCCTGCCGGACCTTCCGCTCAAGCGGATGCTGGCGGAGCAACTGTGGGATCGCGGGGACTTGCCGGCGGTTGTGCGACTGCTCCGGATTCTGCAGGAATCGGAGTGTTTTCACGGCGACGGCGCTGGTGTGACTTCGGGAGGAGGAGGTGAGGTTGCGGATTTGGCGGTGAGGTTGAGAAGCCAAATGGACAGGTCGATTAAAGACGTCAAAGACGGACGGATCGAAAGCGTTGCGGGGCAGCCTAAGCTGCCGCCGCTGACGCTGCAGGGGGATACTATCCGGTCTGACCAATCAGTTGTGGCCATGTCGTCATCTGTTGTGGGAGGAGTCGCCCCTTCGTCGCCCATCTCCGCAACGGCTACCAGCTCGGCAGCCGAAGCGGACAGGATGGCGGGAGGTTCGGCTGGAGGCTCGGCAGGAGGTTCGGCAGAATCGTCTTCCGGGTCGTGGCTGCTGGCGGAAGGTCCAGAGGAGCGGAAGGACCGCCTCATCCGAGAGTTGCGCGAACGGGTGGCGGTTGAGCTGGCTGGCGCAAAGGGGGAGGGGGCAGGGGGGGGTTCTGTTTACGGGGAGAGCGCGGAGGCCCAAGCGGGAGGTTCGGATTCGGTTTCCGCGGGCGCTGATACCGCGGATGCGGTTGCGGAGATTGGGGAGGACCTGGGGGGGTACTTGGCGGAACGAGCTCTCGCGCGCGCGCAGTTCCGCGAGGTGCTGGCGCTTCCGCGGCTGTTGCGCGAGGGCGGCGTGGAGGTGTCGGTGGTAGCGTACGAGGCGGCGCTGATTGCGGCGGTGAGGGAGCAGGAGCTGTGGACGATCAACGTGGGGGATCTGCAGGTGATGCAGTATGAGAGCGCCGTGGGAGCGCTGTCGCCGCTCGACTGCATGCTCATGGAGGTGCGTGGCCGGCCGGGGGGATGTTGAGGGATGGAGGGGTAAGGGTGGGTTGGGGGGATAAGGAAAGGCGGGTATGAGTGGTTGTTGCGGGGGTGATGTGGGGGTCAAGTGAACGTTACAGGAATTGTAGGAAGAGGCACTGTCGCCGCTGGACTGCATGCTCATGGAGGTGCGTGGCCGCTGAGATGAAGAGGGGTGGAGGGGGAAAGGGGGGGAAGCTGGGATGGGGGATAAGGGCGGGAGTGGGGGGGTATTGCGGGGGTGATGGGGGTTAAGTGAGCGTGAGGAAGGATCTGTCGCTGTTGGACTTGATGCTTATGGGGGTGAGCGCGAGGTAGTTTAAGGGGAGATGGGGATATTGAGGGGTTGATGGTTTGGTGATGAGGAGAAGGTGGGGGCACGGTTGACTGGCTGCTTCGAGCAGCATTGTCAGAGGCAGTTTGGCTGGTTGACGTTCTCCCGCTGCTTCCCCCCAACTCCACCCTACACACCTCTTACTTCCGCCGCTCACCCCGCTCATCCCACTCACCCCACTGCCCCCACTCCCCGCATCCCCTTACGCAGCTCGCCCAAGCGACTCTACAGAACGAGGCGCAGCAGCTGGTGGCGTGGTTCGAGGAGCCGACGAGACGGAGTCCTGTTGTTTGACGTCTCCCTCTATTCTCGCTGCTCCCCCCACTCCCCCTTCCGCCCTTCACAGCTCGCCCAGGCGACTCTACAGAACGAGGCGCAGCAGCTGGTGGCGTGGTTCGAGGAGCACTGCGCGAGGGAGCTGGCGCGCGTGCAGGCGTCGGTGCGTGACGTGCAGCAGGACGTGATACAGAAGTGGGCGTGGTTGCCGCACGAACAGCGCGCCAAGCTGGTGCAGGCAGCGACGGAGAGGGAGGAACAGGTGGGTGGGAAAGATTGTTGGTCGGTGGCTCGTAAGTTTTTGTTTGGAGCCGGTTAGGAAGTGTATCGAGTCGCTTAAACAGCAGTGTGAGCCGACTTGTTGTTTCAGGTTGTGTCCACATTCATTGTCTTCTTGTGATCCTTTTTTTTGAATGTTTCCGTACCCCTGCTGCTTCCGTTCCTCTGTTCTTTTTCGTGTCTGCAGGTGGCGAGGCTTCTCAGCGACGCACAGGCGTCTGTGCAGCAGAAGATGGTCGCTTTCTGGTTCGCTGCGCAGGACGCGGACCGAGCGGAGGCCGCCATGTGGCACGCCCTTGAGCTGGCAGCTGAGGCCGGTGGTGACATGGCAGTGGATGCTGACGTGGCGGCCAGCATTGCAGGGTTGCATGGGTTTCAGGGGAATCACACGGCTCTCAGAAGGTGGGTTGAGGGGGATTTTATGTAAAGGGGGACAGTGGAGGCAGTGGAGGGGGGTGAGGGCGGGGAAAAGCTGAGAAGGCGAATTGGGTTGCTTGTACAGTGGGATGTGTGTATCATGGGCTGTTGTTTTTCCATACACTGTGGTGTTCTGCCATGCATGCTACCATGTCAGGCGATGTGGTGGATTCTTACTCTCAACTTCTGTCACTCTTTTCTCACCACCAATCTGGTCTCCATTCCCTGGTCCGCTGTGCGGTGTGATGCGGTTTTCTCTGGTGTGTCAGGCTGCGGCATCGCATGCAGCAGGCGGGGAGTCCGTTGGACGAGAACGCATACACGCTGATGGTGGCAGGAGCCATCAACGGTGGCCATCTCGATGTTGCCGCTGCCTCCATGCAGGAGGTGCGTATGGGGGATGCTGTGTGGTGTAATGCGGTGCAGTGCTTTGTGTTATGCGATCATATGCCATGACTTACAGTATGCCCACCTGTATCCAATGTCCATGTCCACCTGTATCCTCGTCTCATTCCTGTACCCTCGTCCATGCATGCATCCCCATCTCATGTGTACTCCCGTGTCTCAACCAGATGGTGGAACGAGGCATGGAGCCCAGTGGCCCCCAGCTGTCCACGCTGCTGCGCCTGCTGCAGCGCCGGGATGGCCTGGGCGCTCACAGCAATAACCACAGTGGTGGCAGTGGGGAAGCTGACATTGAAGATGCAGAGGGCCATGGGGCATCAGTGGAGTCGTACCTGTGTCTGTGTGCAACGCTGGCTGCAGCAGGAATTGTGGAGCCGTGTCTCGTGTACCTCTACATTGATGCCCTCCGCCTCTGCATCATTCGCATGCTCTAATGTGATCCGATCTGACCTGATGTGGTCTGGTCAGGTCTTTTCTGATCTGGTCTGGTCAGGTCTGATCTGATCTGGTCTGATCTGTCTGATTAGATCTGATCTGCGAGCCCGCTTTCAGTTCTCTTGACCTGAGGTTATTTTACTGGAGTTTAGGGTTCGTTAGTCTCCTGTTCTGTTTTGTTGCCCTTTTCCCATGGAGGATACAGAGGAGCCCTGTTCACCTTTGGTGAGTGAGTGGCGCTCTGTAATGATCCTTCCTATACGAGTCATTTTGCTTGTTAGGCAGGCTTTTTTCTTATTTTGTTTTCACGTTCTGTAACTGTTTGGTGCAATGGGAGTAAGAAGTGAGTTGCAACTAGTAATGCAACGGACTTCAATACAATCAATAAATAATTCTGTGAAGAAAATAGACTGCACAAGCAGTTTCCTCCAAAGCCACAGCTCATGAGCTGAAACTAGGCAGCAAGTGGCAATGGCGGAAGGAAATGACTGCAGAAGGAAATGACTGCGCGAGCTGCACGGTACACTCACACTCTATATATAAATATATATATATATAAAACCATAATATAATGAAGTTCACGAGTCAGGGGTTAGGAGTGAAAAGTGACGGAATATGGAGCAGGAGCAGTGTTGCTCCGCATTGTCAGAGCGCGCGGTGGAGGCGCGGAAGCACGCTCCGCGGTCCTAACGCGTCGGGGGGGTCTGGGGCTGTCCCGCGCAGAGCTGGTGCGCCGCGGAATGGAATGCGGCGCGCCGGGGTATGATGACGCCAGCGGGTGCGAGACGCTCTGCGGATAGCACGGGGAGTGAGAGCTACTTCTACGCGGCGCGGCACCAGGTTCGGCATAGAAGTTCAAGTCGTTCGCCCAGGAAACGCTGGTCGCGAGAGGTGCCGCGCCGTCGAGCGATGCGTGGCGCCTGAGAGCGCGAGGCCGGCTTTCCAGGCAGGAGCAGCTGCCGTGTTTCCCTCTCACGGAGTGACGAAACATAGGTGAAGAAGAAAGATATTCCCGATGCTGTTTACAATGAGCAGCGTGCGCCGACATTCGCGGCTCTTGTAACGAGTCAGCAGAAGCTGTTCGAGCTTCAGAATAGAATGCCAGCGTGGCGACGTCTGATTCGTCGTCCGAGTCGGGTGTCCGTTGCGTGGCGGATTGCAACCGTTCGATGAAACTCTGGCATTTGACGGCGCTGAGCTGGCGTTGAAGGTCTAGAAGATGGAGCTTTCCTTCCAACGACGCTAGTTCCACGTCTTCGACTCTTACAGTAGTGCTTCCTGTACAGCCGCGATTCACGGCGGGACGAGCATCCTGAGGGTTATCGTAGGCGGTGAAGGCTGCGCGCGACGCGGCGATAACTTGTGCTTCGGTGGGTGAAAACCGAGGGGCCATTGTATTTAAAAGTAGACAACTCCGAGTGCAGGCGTCCGTGCGTGAGAGTCAATTACTGGGATGGAGCTGAGAGCTTTTGGTGACGCGAATGGAAGTAATATTTGTATTGCAGGCGTCTTTAGTTCGACGCCTGAATAGCTTGCAGGATTTGCGAGCAAGTCCTGTGGTGTTCGAATGAAGTATTCAGGTTCAGGACTTCTCGTGTTTATCCATCGAGCCAGTCGGCTTTCACTGAGCCAGTTAGGTTCCGCTCAAGAAAGGCGCTTCTTACTACTCTACTGTGTACTGCAACTGTAAGCATCAGCGATGCAGAGTCAGCATGACCATACTTGACGAATGCTATGTCCCTTCCTTCAACTGAGTCATGTTGCGATTCTGACAGTGCAGGCCATGGGGCAAATTGGGAGAGGCTTTAGGTTGCCACGCTGGTGTGGTGAGCACGTGCGCAACTTGCTGCGGTGGACGAGGAAGAATCCCAAGACGCAGAAGAAGCGGGCAGACGGATGGACGCACCGCACCGCAAAGTACACCCAAGAGGACGGAAGGAGGATGGGATGGGAGGACGACGGAAGGAGGGTGGGAGGGAGGAGGACGGACAGAAACGGAACAGCAGCAGCAGGAAGCATGGCGGAAGGAAGCAACACGACGGTCAAGTAGGAGGCAAGAGGGTACTGGAAAGTGATCGGTGAAGTGCGGTTCCGTTAGATCCCGGAAGGGTCTTGCACTCACAGTACAGCTTCGTTTCACCCCAACCCCAACCCAACCTACATAGCTCGCTGCCCCCACGTCCTATTTGTTCGCTCCACCTTTTCTTTCGCCCTATCGCTGTCCGTCACCGGCTGTCCCCTCACGCCCCCTGCGGCCCCCCCCTTCCCACTTTGCTCCCTGCGTCGCTGGCTGGGTTCGTCCAACCAGCAACCACTAGCTGCTGCGCTGTGCAACCGCCAGAGCTAGTTGACGAACTGTTTCGCTAGGCAATGTTACGCAAAGTACCGGTGTAACGAAGTACTACACCCAGTAATAAATTCACATTGAAGGCGAAAGGCGGATTTTCAGGACCAGACAAGACTCCTATTGGTGATTTGTGGCTGAGCAGGGCGGAGAGCGAATTTCGCAATTGGGAATGTGTTACATGCTCTTGAATGGTACAAACTATCTCATATATTTTCATTTCTGTTGTTCAAAACATCAGCCACTGGCTCGAGCGTAGTGCTGAATCAGCAATGGAACCGTAAACAGGGCTCCAATGCCAGCTACCACAGAGCCATATCTACCAATTGCTAGACGCATCCATGCATTCACATGCTGACGCTCCTGATACAACCAACGCCACAGATGGGGAAAAGGGAAGGTGGACCACGATGAGGAAGTTGACAAGGAAAGAATGAGCTCATTAGGAGAATTGGACAAACCAATGCATTGAAACAAATCAGCAATAAGAAAGCAGTGACATAAGTTCTAAATGAGGAAGTGCACATACGAAGGTACTGTAACACGACTAGTGAAAGCACCACAACACGAGATGCATGGTGTATGTTGCTTCGTACATGGTACATGCCTGAGACATCATACACATGGCACATAGTACATACGCACAGAGTACGTCAAATGCTACCTGGTTCTTTGCTCGGAAGGCTGAAAGGGTTTCTGGAAGCAGAGTGATAGTGCTGCGATGCGCCTCAAACGGCAACCTGCGGGGAGAAGGTGGGAGGTAGGGGAAAATACGAAGCTCTATTTTCATTGCTTATACACATGTGTGCCTGTATCCCCCACAGCATTAATCAAAGGACCGTTTGAAGAGCAGAATCAAATCCATTTCGAAACGCAATCCAATCCATTTTAAAGGGAGAACCTAATCCATGCTCTCGCAAAAGTTGCCAACAGACATGGCCGGCATGACAAAGCAACTGAGAGGAATAGACAACTAGGTGCACGAGCGAGCCCGAGGGGTGTGTGCTTTTCCAGTATGAGCAAAGCACGAAAAGGTGTGTTTTGAGCAAAACACGAAAAGGTGTGTTTTGAGCAAAGCACGAAAAGGTGTGTTTTGAGCAAAGCACGAAAAGGTGTGTTTTGAGCAAAGCACGAAAAGGTGTGTTTTGAGCAAAGCACGAAAAGGTGTGTTTTGAGCAAAGCACGAAAATGTGTGTTTTGAGCAAAGCACGAAAAGGTGTGTTTTGAGCAAAGCACGAAAAGGTGTGTTTTGAGCAAAGCACGAAAAGGTGTGTTTTGAGCAAAGCACGAAAAGGTGTGTTTTGAGCAAAGCACGAAAATGTGTGTTTTGAGCAAAGCACGAAAAGGTGTGTTTTGAGCAAAGCACGAAAAGGTGTGTTTTGAGCAAAGCACGGAAAGGTGTGTTTTGAGCAAAGCACGGAAAGGTGTGTTTTGAGCACAGCACGAAAAGGTGTGTTTTGAGTCGACTCAAACCACACCCCGGGGGGCGTGTGCTTTTCCAGTACGATCAAAGCATGAAAAGGCACATACTAACCCCTCCTTCGGGTTGGTATCAAAGTTCACACCCACTTCCATTTGGGTTTTCTACGCACCTGAGGCCCGATAACTGCTGCATGACCGCCTCTCTTACAAACGAGCGGCCCCTGCTTTTAGTCACAGTCACACACATGCAAACGCGGGATACAGTCACAAGGGCATAATTACAACATACAGTCACACAGACATACAGTCACACGGGCATAGAGTCACAAGGGGGTTGGTTGATTGAGATACGATGAGACAGAGAGAAAGAACCTGTCGACTGCATGCATACTGAAGCAGCAGGGCATGGGAAAGCGCCAAGCTTTTGCAGTCTGCAAGTGATCAGAGCGCCATTCGCAAAGATCGGAAACGAACGTCAGCCATGTGGACTGGGTGAGCTGCAGTCGGGAAGTCACTGGGTGAGCTGCAGTCGGGAAGTCACTTTTAGCAAGAGAAAGACAGTAGTACTAATCTGTATGTTGTACCCTGCTAAGTGCCAAGAAAATCAAGAAAACCAAACTCTCGAATCCACTTAAGAGATTGAAACGCAAACATGTTTCGGCTGACTGGGACAGGCCCCAAGTCAAACTTTCATCAGTGCTAGTCAGCAAGTGATCAGAGTGCCATTCATAAAGATCGGAAATGAATGCAATGCAGAGTTGGGGGTAGGAAGGCCTTCCCACCAGATGGGGGTACGAGATGGGGGTACGAGATGGGGGCACGAGATGGGAGAAGGTACTAGGTAGGAAGCAAGCAGGGTTTGAGAGGGTTGGAACGGACCTGCCAGCTCCTGTGATAATGACCAGTCCCCTGCTGTGCTGTGAGGGAGTGCCATCACCACCTTGAGCCACGGCTGCTGCTGCTGCCGCCGCCGCCGCCGCCGCCGCTGCTGCCTCCGATGCTGCTGTCAGGGTGGATCGATGCACAAACACTGGCTTCTTCAGAGGTGCACCTGGGGCAGGGTGCTTCTGAAATGCTTCAGTTTCTGTGAAACGAGCAAGGGAGGAGTGACGTGTACTCTCACACCCTCGGGCTGGTGAGGACCCCGAGGGAGCTGCCAAGCGAGTGTGCGAAGGAGAGGGCGAGTGAGGGTGTGAGTGCAGGTGCGGGTTAGGGAGTGAGTGAGGGAGCGAGCGAGGGAGTGAGGGAGGGAGTGAGGGAGGGAGTGAGGGAGGGAGGAGGGCATCCATGAGGCGGAGTCTACTCTGCATGGCGGACAAGCCATGCAGATCTAGAGTAACCACCCCCATGCCCTCGCCACCCTCCCATACCCTCTTCCCCATGCCCTCGCCCCTCTCCCGTGCCCTCTTCCCCATGCCCTCGCCCCTCTCCCGTGCCCTCTTCCCCATGCCCTCGCTCCCCTCCCATACCCTCTCCCCCATGCTCTTGCCCTCCCAAGCTCTCCCTCCCACTCCCAACTCGCCCCTCCCACCTCCTCCTCCTCTTCCCCGCTCAACCCCCATCTCGCCTGCCCCATGTCTCAACACCTCACCGCCCCAACCGCCCTTCATCCCCCTCACTCCCAACTCGCCCATCGCCCTACCACCACCACCACCACCCCCTCCTCCCCCTTCTCCCCTCCGCTCACCCCCCATCTCGCCTGCCCCATGTCTCGACACCTGACCGCCCCAACCCCCCCTCGCCCCCATTCCAGCAGTCCCCAGAGCTCCCTGTGCTGCTGGTGCCGTGGCTGCTGGCTCTCCGAACCACTGCTGCAGCCACGGGCCGAGCCTAGAAAACAGGCCGGGATCAGTGGCAGCAGAGGTGGCCGGGGGAAGCGGGGGAGGGCTTATAGGAGCAGAGGGAGGTGAGGGAGGGGGTGTTGCGGGCGGGCTTGGAACGGTTGCTGCTTTTTTATGTGCTTCATAACTCATCTCATTTTGAGCAGTGGGAGGTGAGGGAGGGGGTGTTGCGGGCGGGGTTGGAACGGTGGCCGAGACAAGGGATGGGCGGAAATGGAAATCCATACTGTTTTGTTGCGGTGCTTCGTTCATACTCAGCAAGGGTGAGGTGGGATGAGAGTGGGAGGATAGGGATGAGCTTGGGAGTGTGGCGGGGGAAAGGGAGGGGTGAGGGTCCTGGTCTTGGTGTGTTTTGAGTCGACTCAAAACACACCTGGGGGAAAGGGAGGGGTGAGGGTCCTGGTCTTGGTGTGTTTTGAGTCGACTCAAAACACACCTGGGGGAAAGCGAGGGGTGAGGGTCCTGGTCTTGCTTCTCGCTGCTGGCTGCTTCAATGACTGGCTCGCTGGTGGTGAGAGGTGACTGTACAGAAGGAATTGACTGTGAGGAGTGTGACTGTACAGAGATGGAAGGTGAATGTACAGAGGCGGAGTGTGACTGTACAGAGGCGGAAGGTGACTGTACAGCGGTGGGATCACCAGCAGCACAGGGATAAAGTTGATGCTGCTGCTGATGATGATAATGATGGTGATTTTGCTTAATTGCAGATTGCTGCATGAGGCCAAGAAGCTGATCTGTCTGCGTCTGATTGGCTGGCTGACGTGGAGGAAGGTCAGTAGGCGCCAGGGACGCGAGCAGGTCAGAAGGCAGGGAAGGGGCAAGGCGGAAGGCGGCTGTGAGTGAAGAGATGGAGGCCTGCAGGGAATGGGGGAAAGAAGGGATACGGTATATGGGGCGATTGGGGAGAGATAGTGAGGAAGGCGGCAGTGAGAGAGGAAACAAATGGTTGCAGGAAAAGGTGTAAAGCTGTGGAGCAGTGGGGGGGTGAGGAGAGGGGGAGGAAAGGGGAGTGCGAGGGAGAACGGGAGCAGGGGGCGACATCAGGACGAACGATATATGTGCCCTTCTTTATACTCAAAAGAACAGCTATGGTGAAAAGCACACCCACACATTCACCCACCCACATCCCCCACCCACCCGCCAACCCCCATGGCGATTCGCTCCTACCTCTGTGGGTGTGATGCCTGAACCAATCATCTGCTGCCACGTGTCCACTGCAGCGTCCGCATCCGCCGCCCGGGCACATGCATCCAGCAACGTGTTGAACGTGACTATATCAGGAGTGACGGCATCAGGAGTCACAGTAGCAGAAGTGGTAGTACAGGGAGTTACAGCATCAAGGGTGCTTTTTGAACTTCTCGTCACACAGGCAGCTAGATCCTGTCTGGACGTGCAGCGGGCGGCATTACTAGGCCAGGGCGGCGATTCTTGTCTTGACATCGAGGCGATGAGCTGGCGCATGCGATGGATGGTCTCAGAGGGGCTGAGCCGGGGAGGCACGGATGGAGACGAGCCACGCCGCCCGCCATGCGTCAGCCACCCGTCGCCTCTCATCAATCCATTCGCCCACTGCTCCTCTCTGCGATCATTGTGTCTGATCACTCTCATCTCTCCTCTCCCCTCATTAACATGCTCACTAGTATGATAATCGCCATGGGCACTGACTGGCGTGATGCTCTTGGCATAGGCGTTGAGAACGATGTTGTAGCTCCGCTGCACACAGGCGGACCGGAGAAGACACATGGGCGGACCGGAGCAAGAACATTGGGCACATGGGTGGAAAAAGCAGCGGGAAATGGCGCGCAGCTTTCGTCATGTGATGATGACGCCACGCCATCACAGGTGAAACGACGGCGCTGGTACGATGACCATGGAGCAGAGCAGTGAAACAGAACTGAGCCAGAAGCACGCAGCTCAGCAACAGCAACAGCCACCACCACCAACAACACCAAGACTCACGAGGTTGGGCGGGCAGTGCGCGTGCAGCATGCGAGAGAGCACCCCTTCAGACCGCACTGCATCCCCGCTCCGACTCCACGCATCCGCCAGCGCGTTCCACACCACCACATCGTTAAAGCCACTCTTCCACCCACCATTCAACCCACTGTTGAATCCACCCATGCCTGCGTCACGGCTCCTTGCATCAGCAGCAACACCAGCACCAGAAGACACCTTCCCCGGCTCCACCTGTCCCCCCACCCCAGTGCCTTCCAACACAGCCTCCCCCTCCCAAGTCCCCCCCAGCATCGCCTCCCCCACCACTCTTCTCCCCCCCAGCATCGCCTCCCCCACCACTCTTCTCCCCCCCAGCACCGCCTCCCCCACCACTCTTCTCCCCCCCAGCGCCACCCCTGCCATCACCCTCTCTGCTTCATCCGCCCTGCCCGCCCGCCCACACACCGCAATCATTGCGGAGGCGGCGTACTTGTCTGCTTGCAGACCGCGGGCGCGCATCTCCTGCCACAGCTCCCGAGCGCGCGCCAGCTGTCGCAACGCTACTCGCTGTCTCCCTTCCGCTTCCCCTTCCCCTTCTCCGACCCGCACTTCCCCCTCGCGTTCCCCCGTTGCGCCCCCGCCCAGACGCGTCCGCCCGGGTTCCGCCTCCGCCAGTTGAAACCTCCCCCTCCCGAGTCGGCGCCACGTGGCACCCTTCACCAGGCACAGCTGGATCCGAGCCGCGTACATCCACGTGGCAGGCGCGCCGCCCAGCGCGTGGTATTCCGCCATAAGCGCGTCGACCCGCTCCTCCGCGCGCCTGCGCCTGCGCCCGCCCTCCGCGCGCTGCCCCTCGCGCGCCGCTTCCCGAATTTGTTGCGTGAGCTCGCGAAGGCGTTCGTGAAGAGGTGGGCGATGCGCCTGCGAGTGCTGCGACGGCTGCGACTGCTGCTGGCGAGGACTCTGCCTGAGCCCGTCACGTGGTGCGCGCATGTCAAGATGCTGCGGCTGCGGTTGACGCTGCTGCTGCTCTCCCTGCTGCGACCTATGGTGGCGAGGACGCTGCCCGTCATATGCGGCGCGCTCAAGATGATGCTCCCGCTGTTTCTGCTCCTGCTGGCTTTTCTGCGGCAGTGGCTGCTGCTGCTGCTGCTGCTGCTCACTCTGCTCCTCTTGCGGCCACCGTCGCGGCTGCGGCGGCTGGGGGGAATCCAGCCTCCCCCACGGAGGTTCTAGCTTCATTATCGGCGGAAAAACGGGAGGACAGGGGCGAGCAACGCGCCTCGTGCTGCTGCCCGAAGTGAATGCGAACGCATCGACTGGTGAGGGTGCCTAAATGCTGCTGACGTAAATGAAGCCTCGTCGCCCGTGATGTGCGTCAAGTGCTGTGCTTTCGTGGAGAGAAATGTTGGAAGGTGAAAATTGTACGCCATGTTTCGTTTGGACAAAAAACTTTCAAGATGTGCATCGTCAACAGTCACTCAAAACAGTACACCAGTGCACTGTATCGAGTACAACAATTTACCTCCAACTCTCTCCCTCCTCCCCTCCTCAAGGTTTGTTTCTTCCCTCGAGATTCTCCTCTTCCCCCTCTCTCTCTCCCCTCCCGCCCTCTTTTCCCTTTCTCTTCGGAGAAACCTGAAAACCTGGAATTCTTGTTCCTGGTCTCAGGGCTTTAGCAGGCACGACACAAGAGCTTCTTTTCTTCCGCGTTTCCTGGTCCTGCATTCGCTTGATAGTTAGAAGAAGATTAAAGACTAATATCTCTGCGACTTTCTTCATCGAAGGTAGGTTCCTAAAACGGAAATTGTGCGACAGGCAACAGGTCCTGACGGAACTGACGGAACGCAAACAGCAACAAGTTACCGCGACTGTGAGGGTTACAAGTAGCCTTTACCGTTCCAAAAGTCGTTTTCTTGAGCGTTAGGGTGCTAATAGTCACGTAAATAAGCGTCAGAGTCTGGATGTGCTGAGGAATCCTGAGACGGCCATCAGGGTTTCAGTTTTTTTTCATTCGTAGAGTTTAGGTCTCGTGCCGCTTTATTTGCAGAAGGCTTTTCTTCTATTCGTTAGGTCTCGTGAATTCTAGTGCCGCTCTTCGCATGTATCTCATCCTTCATTAATCCCTCATCCATTGCCATCAGCAGCTGTCGCGACGACGCTCGCATTGTCACTGCCGCTAGTACCTGAACTGACATTGGCCCTACTGAATCCGTGCGTTGTTCCCCGCAGAACCAATTCTAAAAACCGGCACCCGTCGCCGTCGCGATGTTGCTTCTGTTCGAGACCCCGGCGGGGTTCGCGCTGTTTAAGGTGCTAGACGACAAGAAGCTCGACAAGGTCGAGGACATCTGGACGCACTTCGAGTCGTCGGAAAGCGCCAGCAAGGCAAGTGGTGCTAAGGAGTAGAGAGCGGTAACCAGGCAGGGAAGTTTTTCGCGAATTTATTAGAGAGTTTGGTAGGGCGAGAGAGTAAGGTGACAAATGCGAGAGAATGCGGTAGGTTTTAAGGGGGGGTGGAGGAGGGGGGATGAGAGGATAGATCGGGTCCATTTGAACCCCTCCCCGGTCCGTCCCAACCAACCGTCTCCTTCAACCTTCCCTTCGTGCTGGTGGTGAAGCTTAAGGCGTTCGACAAGTTCGAGAACGCGGCGTACGCGTTGAGCGTTATTTAAGCCCCGCTAACCCCTCTCTCCCCCCCCGTATTCCCCTTTTCCGTCTGCAGGTGGTGAAGCTGAAGGCGTTCGACAAGTTCGAGAACACGGCGGACGCGCTGGGCGCGAGTTACGCCCTGTTAACCCCGCCGCCCCTTCTTCCCCCTCCTCCCCCCTTCCCCGAGCCCCCGCTGACTACAGGTGGTGAAGCTGAAGGCGTTCGACAAGTTCGAGAACACGGCGGATGCGCTGGGCGCTATTTAGGCCCCGCTAATCCCTTTCTTCCCCCACATCCTCTTTTCACTCCGCAGGTGGTGAAGCTGAAGGCGTTCGACAAGTTCGAGAACACGGCGGACGCGCTGGGCGCGGCGACGGCGCTGGTGGAGAGCAAGCTGAGCAAGGGGCTGAAGAAGTTCGTCAAGGCGCAGTGCCAGGGCGAGACGCTCGCCGTCGCCGACTCGAAGCTGGGAAACATCATCAAGGAGAAACTGGTGCGGGCGCGCATGGGGGTGCTCGCGGGGGATGGTTGGGGGGTTGGGATAGAGAAAGGGAATGCGATTGGATGGGGAGTTGGGGTTGACGAATGGGAATGTGATTGAAAAGAGGGGGTTGGGATTGTAAGTGAGAGGTAGGTCGGCGCTGGTGGAGAGCAAGCTGAGCAAGGGGCTGAAGAAGTTCGTCAAGGCGCAGTGCCAGGGCACTCTAAACTTGGCAACATTATCAAAGAGAAACTGGTGCGGGGATTGGCCCGCGGGGGAAGGGGGAGGACGCGGGTGAAAAGGGGATTGGGATTGGCAGAGGGAACGTGATTCGAAGTAGGTTGGGAATGAGGTCGTATCCCTGGCTGGTGGCAAGAAGTTGGTGGCAAGAAGTTTCCGCGCGCGATTGGTCCAAAACAGACGCCCGGCCAATGCGATTGGTCAAGCGGTTTTTTTAACCAATCGCGTGCGCAAAATTCTTGCCACCAACTTCTTGCCACCAGCCAGGGATACGACCTGAGGGAAGGATTGTGATAAGAAAGGGTATGGGATTGTAAGAAGTGTGGTGGAGTGGAGAGCAGGCCGAGCAAGGGAATAGGAGCAAGGGGATAGAGTAAAAAAATTGTGAAGGCGCTGTGTCACTGCCAGAAATGTTATAATAAAAGTGGCATCGGTGGTAAGAGGCCACTGGCACTGGCAGGGGAGGGGCTTTGACACCTCTCAGATTTCTTTCTTTCTTCCACTCCCGCTCTTTTTTCTCCCTCCGTGCTTCTCCACGCGCGACAGGGAGTGACGTGCGTGCACAGCGCGGGAATGATGGGGCTGATGCGCGGGGTGCGCTCGCACCTTCCGGAGCTCATCGCAGGGCTGTCAGGCGCCGACCTCATTGTCCCTCCCCCACTCCCTTTGCATGTGCGCCCATGCAGGGAGTGACATGCGTGCACAACGCAGCGGTGATGGAGCTCATGCGCGGGGTGCGGTCGCACCTCTCGGAGCTCATCGCAGGGCTGTCAGGCACGGATCTCGCGCCCATGAGCCTGGGGCTCAGCCACAGCCTGTCGCGCTACAAGCTCAAGTTCTCTCCCGACAAGGTATGCCCTCCTGCATGCATGTATGTATGCATACACGACATTGACGTACAAAGCGAATGGTTGGTGTATTCATGTTCCGCATCGCACGGGTGGGTGGATGGTACTTGCCTTACACGATCCAACCACTTTCCATGAACTCCAGCCACCCACTTTTCCTCCCTCCCCTACCTGACCACACACGATCAACCAATCCCGTTGAACGCAGGTGGACACGATGATAGTGCAGGCGATCGGGCTGCTGGACGATCTGGACAAGGAGCTGAACGCGTACTGAGTCTCTTCTAAACCACTCTAAACATCCCCCAATCCTCCCCTCCCCCCTCCCCCCTCCCCCTTTCTCTCCCCCCCCCACCCTTCCACCATGATCGCAGGTGGACACGATGATAGTGCAGGCGATCGGGCTGCTGGACGACCTGGACAAGGAGCTGAACACGTACGCCATGCGCGTGCGCGAGTGGTACGGCTGGCACTTCCCCGAGCTCGCCAAGATCGTCACGGACAACCTGCAGTACGCGCGCGCCGTCAAGCTCATGGCGCACCGCGTCAACGCTGCTGACTTGGACTTTTCCGGGGTGAGCTTGGTCCCTTTCTCCTCTCCCCACTCCCCTCCCCACTCCTTTCCCCCTTCCCTCCTCTCCTCTCTGTGTCGAGGCGTGTGTGTCCCTCCCGTTGGTTCCAAGGCGAGTGGTACGGGTGGCACTTCCCCGAGCTCGCCAAGGTCGTCACGGACAACCTGCAGTACGCGCGCGCCGTCAAGCTCATGGCGCACCGCGTCAACGCCGCCGACCTCGACTTCTCCGGGGTGAGATTGAGATATTAGAGGATGTCGGCCATGTAGGATGCGGCGGCGATCTCTGCATATACCCTCCCATGCTAACTTCCCTTTCCCCCCTTCCCCCCCCTTCCCCCACCGCCATCCATCACCTCAGATACTGGAGGAGGATGTGGAGTCGGCCATGAAGGATGCGGCAGTGATTTCCATGGGGACGGAGGTCAGCGAGCACGACATGACCAACATCATTGCTCTCTGCGACCAGGTCAGTCACACGTTTCGATCAACACAGGGACAATGTAAGTGAAATGGCTGCCATGCTGGTACACACACTCACAGTGCTGCCACAATCAAAGTGCTGCCACACTCACAGTGCGGTGTTAGTGCGACTGTATACGTGCTTTGGTTTCCCATTCTCACCCATCCTCGTCTGATCGACTGAAATGCCTCATTCCTTACCACCCTTAAACCTTTCCTCCTCCAGGTCATCGCGCTCTCAGAGTACCGTGCGCAGCTGTTCGACTACCTGCGATCGCGCATGCTCGCCATAGCGCCCAACCTCCCCTTCTCCACCCCCATCCCCCTCATTCCCCGCTCTCCCTTTCCCCTGCAGGTCATCGCGCTCTCAGAGTACCGTGCGCAGCTGTTTGACTACCTGCGATCGCGCATGCTCGCCATAGCGCCCAACCTCACAGTGCTGGTGGGCGAGCTCGTGGGGGCGCGCCTCATTGCCCACGCCGGTTCCCTCATGAGCCTGGCCAAGCACCCCGCCTCCACCGTGCAGATCCTGGGCGCTGAGAAGGTACGTACGTTGCGGGGTGAAGGGGTGGTGGTGGTGTAGCAAGGTAAAGGGCGCAGGCAGCGTGCTGGCCATAGCGCCCAACCTGACGGTGCTGGTGGGCGAGCTCGTGGGGGCGCGCCTCATCGCACATGCGGGCTCCCTCTTGAGCCTGGCCAAGCACCCCGCCTCCACCGTGCAGATCCTTGGCGCTGAGAAGGTAAGCCACATTGCTGATTAGCTTTCGAGTCTAACGTGAAGGTCACGTGGTGTGGTGGGGGCGTGCCTCATCGCCCACGCTGGCTCGCCTATGAGTCTGGCCAAGCACCCCGACCCCGCCTCCACTGTTCAGATCCTGGGCGCTGAGAAGGTATGCCGTGTGCTGATGATGGTGTAGCATGACAGATGTCACGGCATGGGACAGGGGGCACAGCACGGTATTGGCTCTTTTTCCAGACCTCGCTCATCGGCGGCCCTTTCCCCCTCCCTGCCTCTAATACCCCTTTTCCCACCCCCCTCACCACCCTCACAGGCCCTGTTCCGCGCCCTCAAGACGAAGCATGACACGCCCAAGTACGGGCTCATCTTCCACGCCTCGCTCATCCCCCCCCCCCTTTTTCCCCCTGATCCCTGTTGTTCCCTATCCCCCCCTTTCTCTTCAGGCGCTGTTCCGCGCGCTCAAGACGAAGCACGACACGCCCAAGTACGGGCTCATCTTCCACGCGTCGCTCATCGGCCCGTATCTTCTTGGTTCCCAACTCCTTTCCCCCAAACCCCCCCCCCCCCCCTCCCCTCCCCTCAGGCGCTGTTCCGCGCGCTGAAGACGAAGCACGACACGCCCAAGTACGGGCTCATCTTCCACGCGTCGCTCATTGGCCAGGCGCCCCCCAAGCTCAAGGGCAAGATCTCGCGCGTGCTCGCTGCCAAGTGCTCCCTGGCTATCCGTGTGGACGCCCTGGGTGATGCCACCGAGCCCACCGTTGGCATCGAGGGCCGTGCTAAGGTGCGTGTCAAAATGGTGGGACAGAGGGGATGGGAAAAAGCCAGGCGCCCTTCAAGCTCAAGGGCAAGATTTTCCGCGTGCTCGCCGCCAAGTGCTCGCTTGCGATTCGCGTGGACGCCCTGGTGATGCCACCGAGCCCACTGTTGGCATCGAGGGCCGCGCTAAGGTGCGTGTCAAAGGGTGGGACAGAGGGGAAGGGAAAGGGCCAGGCGCCCCCGAAGCTCAATTGCTGCTGGCTGCCAAGTGCTCCCTTGCTATCTGCGTGGACGCCCTGGGTGATGTGATGCCACCGAGCCCGCTGTTGGGATTGAGGGGCGTGCTAAGGTGGGCGGGTGTGAGGGGAGGAACAGGAGCATAGTGGGATTAAAGGCATGCTCTCTCTCAATGCGACTACTTCTGGTGCTGCCATCCGCTCATGTCTGTGCACTGTACTGACTCTCCTCTGTCTGTTTCTCCCCTCTTGCGTGTGATTGACTAACAGATCGAGCAGCGGCTGCGACAGCTGGAGGGGCGGGTGCTGGGCAGTGCGAGTGCAGCGAGCAAGGGCAAGGCAAAGCTGGGGGCGTACGACAAGGACCGGAAGGAGGGCACGGGCGGCTTGATCACCCCTGCCAAGGTAATTATGCATGGGATTTGTGTTAGTTAATCTGAAAAAGCTCAGTGCGAGTGCAGCGAGCAAGGGCAAGGCGAAGCTGGGGGCGTATGACAAGGACCGGAAGGAGGGCACGGGCGGACTCATCACCCCTGCCAAGGTACTGGGGTTGGGTTGCTTACGGGGAGTGTGTTGAAGCATTTTTAATACCGCAGTGCGAGTGCAGCGAACAAGGGAAAGGATGGGAAGCTGGGGACATATGACAAGGATAGGAAAGAGGGCATGGGAGGACTCATCACCCCCGCCAAGGTAAGTCACCTTTTGGGGGACTGAAAGGGTCACGGTGACGGCAGGAGAGTTGAAGCTTTTAGGGGCTCTTCTTCTTACAGGCATCGCATGATGCAGCACTGGATGGATAGGGTCATTTGTGAGTCGTTTCAGATCGATTCTTTCTTTCCAGGCATCACGGCACGTCACAGTGTTCCCCACTTCACCTCTCACTCACTTTCTTCTCCCACCGACCTTTCCCACCCCGTCTTCCCTGTCTGCAGGCCTACAACCCCGCATCTGATGCGCTCTTGACAGCCAAGTCCCCAGCGACAGACGCAACACCAGCGGCAGGGGAGGAGTCGGCTAAGAAGGCCAAGAAGGAGAAGAAGGCCAAGAAGGACAAGGAGAACGGGGATGCCACTCCCTCTGCCGCTGCCCGTGTTGATGCTGACGGGGCAGAGCCGCCTTCCACTGAGGTGCGTTGCGGTTAGGTGAGAACATTCGGTCGGGCAAGAAGGAAAGAAGGACAAGGAGAACGGGGATGCCACTCCCTCTGCTGCTGCTTGTGTTGATGCCGATGGGGCAGAGCCGCCTTCCACTGAGGTGTGTTGTGGTTGGGGGAAGAGCCTCATGTGGTGAGTGAGGGTGTGCTGCTGTTGCTCTCAGTTGGGTTTGCATTGGGTATCATCCCCTGACGAAGCAGGTTTGGTTTGATTTGTTGGTTGTTGAAGAAAGGTAGGGTTTTTTTTCGATCTGATTCTTGTCCTACACACTCTCGCATGCCCTTCAAACCCCATGTCTTTCAACATTTCTGCTTGTCCATGGTGCATGTTTCCTCCCCCCTTCCTTGTGCCTTTCTTCAGAAGAAAAAGAAGAAAAAGCGTGACAGGGAGGAGGAGGGCAAGGCGAAAGAGGAAGCAGCAGCGCCGGTGACCCCCGCTTCTGAGAAGAAGAAGAAAAAGAAGGATGCGGCAGCGGATGGGAGTGTAACACCTGGGGCCACCGATGGTTCGGCCAAGAAGAAAAAGAAGACCAAGGAGGAGGATGGGGCGACACCGGGGGCGAGCGGATCGACCAAGAAGAAAAAGAAGTCGGCCGAGTGAGGAGGATTTGAGGGCCGAAATGATAATAGAACGGCTGGGAAAGGTTTTGTGAGATGCAGCAGAGATTGAAAGGCATGTGTAGCCCCACTATATTGCAGTCAGTGGAGTGAAATGCTGGTTAGCACAAGGTGGTGCAGTGGCAGTTGCACATAACACAGATGCTCTGCTGCTAAATGTTACCTTGTGAAAAATCTGCTATTCAAGAGTTGTTTAGAGGAACATGGAGGCTTCACGCTGGCAATCTGCTGGAGGTGCATGGAAGAATAAATCTGGTGTGAGCCTGTTACTAGTAAGTCAACCACAAACTGATTTCAACCGACAAGGGTCGTTGAGTGTAGTGTATACACTACACTCAACGACCCTTGTCGGTTGAAATCACTAACGAGACCGCTAATGTCGAGCCCAGCGCTTGTAAATTCAGTCGAGAATTTGTCCAATCCTGCAGATTTCGAGGTTTGTCACAAAGCGGGTCATTCACTCCTCTCCTCTTTCACCACTATCTGTAGATTGTCGCCTCGTGGTAGACTGTCGGCTGAAGTAAGTTGTCGTGGTAGACTGTCGGCTAACGTAGATTGTCGCCTATTGTAGACTGCAAGGATGGCGTCGCGTTGCCGGATTTCCTCGTCTCGCCTTCCTCTCTCAGTTTCTTCTGTCGCGGTTGCGTATCTCCTCTATACCCTTTTCTCGTTACTATCGCATTCTCCCTTCGCGAGTGCGGCGCGCTTACCTGCTACCAGCCAGCTGCTCATGACATCAGCAGAAGATCTTAACCCCAAGAGCCTTGGGATTCATCGGCAAGTGACTACAACGAAGGGTTCGTTTGTCGATGATGGATTAAGCGCGGACTCGCAGAGTGACAGTATACAGGAAGCACCCCGGGCCCCTGCGTGGCCGTCAAGATTCCAAGTTGACTTTAACGAGGTGAGAAAGATTCGCGTAAGCGGGACTATGTCTAACTTGTTACAAGGCAAATAGGCCATAACGGTTTCTAAACAAAGCTGATTCACTCCATGAGCTGTAATTCCACTCGTTGGCTCCATGGGTTGTTACTCCCCTCGCAGGAGATGTAACTCCCCTCGTTCACTTTGTGAGATGTAACTCCCCCGTTCAATTTGTGAGATGTAACTCTCCTCCATTATCCCATGAGATGCTACTCCCCTGTTCACTCCAGGAGATGTACCTCCCCTGGTACACCCTGACAACGGAAGGCACCTGGCGGTACGACTACACCACACGCAGGCAGCGCATCGACCGCCGGAACGGGCTGGGGGATCGATACTGTGGGTGAGTGAGCGCCTGCGATTCTTTGGACGCTTCACAATGAAATAAAACTTCAGCCCTTCCTGAAGAATGAAACAAAACTTCAGCCCTTCCTGGTGAATGAAACAAAACTTCAGCCCTTCCTGGTGAATGAAACAAAACTTCAGCCCTTCCTGAAGAATGAAGAGGGTGGGGACCGATACTGCGGGTGAGTGAGTGAGTGCTTGTGATTCTTTGTGTTCGTCCTCTTCCCTTCCCCGATCATATTTTCTCCCCATCATCCCGCCTAACTCTGATGAGCATCCCATGCGTCCACCTGCTCGTGCCCATCATCCCATAGGCGTCCTCTCAACCGCTCTCTCGACCTTTCAACCGCTCTCTCGACCTTTCAACCGCTCTCTCGACCTTTCAACCGCTCTCTCGACCTTTCAACCGCTCACTCGACGTTTCAACCTCTCTCTCTCTTGCCCCCTTTCCTCTTGCCCCATCTGCGTCCCCCTCTATTCGCACCGGTATGCGTGCAGCTCCGCCCTGCCTCTGAGGGCCAACCCATGCGCCCACTCAGTCCTCCTCTCTTTAAGCATCCTCCCGCCCCCCCCCTTCTCTCTTCCCCTCCCCCTTGTTTCCACACGCTCTTCCGCACGCTCTTCCACACGCAGCTCCGTGCTGAATCTGAAGGCCACCGCATGCACCCAACTGGTGCTCTCTTAAAGGAATTCCCTCCCTCCCCCTCCCTCTCTCACTCGCTCTCGTGTGCACTTCCGCACTGCCTCCGAGGGCCACCGCATGCACCCAACTGGTGTGGGTGCGGTACTCCTGGCGCCCATGCTTGCGCCCGCCCACCTGTTGCTCCCCTATAGCATCGCTGCCCCCCTTTGCTCCCGCCCTCTCCCACGCGCAGCTCCGCGCTGCCTCTGAAGGCCACCCCATGCACCCACCTGCTGCTCTCTTAAAGCACCCCGTCCCTCCCTCTTTCCCCCCTCTCACTCTATCTGGCGTGCAGCTACGTGTATGAAGAAGTGTTTTGAGACGTCTCAAAGCACCCCGTCCCTCCCTCTTTCCCCCCTCTCACTCTATCCGGCGTGCAGCTCCGCGCTGCCTCTGAGGGCCACCGCATGCACCCAACTGGTGCTCTCTTGAAGGAATTCTCTCCCCTCCCCCCTTCCCCGCTCTCTCTCTCTCTCTTCCACGTGCAGCTCTGCGCTGCCTTTAAGGGCCACCCCATGCACCCAGCTGGTGCGGGACTCGTGGCGTTATCTCGTCTTCCCGCAGGAAAAGGTGACACGCACAGCTTCCGGTCGTTTCTTAGAATTTACAAAGGTGCCTCTCAGGGCCACCCCATGCACCCAGCTGGTGCGGGACTCGTGGCGTTATCTCATCTTCTCGCAAGAAAAGGTGAGGAAGCTTCCTGTCATAGGCGCATTTAAGAATGATGTAGTGATGCTTTTTCCTTGCTTTGACAGACTCATCCGTATACCATCCCATGTCAACCATATTCTCTCTCCATCCTCCCCTACCTCCACCTCTCTCCCCTCTTGCCTGCGCGCAGTACTGCTGCCGCTGCTGCTCTGCGGCCAATGGGTGTGACGTGACTTTTGGGTCGACCCAAATGTCAACTCCATCCTCCCCTCCCCCCAACCCCCCCCTCGTTCCCCCTCTTGCCTGCGCGCAGTACTGCTGCCGCTGCTGCTCTGCGGCCAATGGGTGTGACGTGGTGCGCCCTGATTGGCTGGCTGATGCCACCTATATGGGCCGGGACTACGTGGATGACATTCCCTCCACCAAATGGTGAGCGGTGATGAGAGATGATGAGGGATGATGAGGGGAGATGAGGGATGATGAGGGGTGGTGAGGAGTGGTGAGGGGTGATGCGAGGTCATGACTCATGAGAGATGATCAGGTAAGATGTCTGCTGCTTCCTGCTGTCTGCTATTCCAATAATCTATTAAAAAAAAAAGATGCCAACACAGCCAACAAGGAAAACATAAGCAGTTCTAAAGCAAACAAGCATGCAAGCATAAAAGCTGCTGCCCGCTACCTGCTCCCTGTCATGTGCTGTGTGCTGCTCCTTGATCGCCTGTCTGTTTGATTTGAATTCTCCTGCATTCCAAGATCTCCATGCTGTCTAGTAGCCCCCCTTTTCTTTGTTGGTCTGTGTCACACCCATGCCTGGTGTGTTGCCCTCTGCGTGTGTTGCCATCTGACATGGCATGCGAGCAAGCAGGAAGCAGCAGGGGTTGCAGAACAACTACTACTGGCACTCAGAGGATGATGTGCCCATTCGAATGTACATGGTAAGGCATCAATTAACATGCATGTGAGTGTGTGAGAGGGGATAGCGGGTGATTGCTGCATGTGTGTGTGCCGTCTGAGAGCAAGCAGGAAGCAGCAGGGGTTGCAGAACAATTACTACTGGCAGTCAGAGGGTGATGTGCCTATGCGAATGTACATGGTACGACGTCAGTGGGGATGACTGTGAGCACGTATGGGTGTGTTAGAGAATTCTCCAGAACATCCCGAGACTCAGAACAGCAACAGCTGGCGCTCGGAGCTTCTCAAAAACACCCAGGAGGCATCAGGGGCAACAGAACAACCACTGCTGGCTGGCACTCGGAAGATGATGTGCCATGCCGCATGCGGATGTACATACATGGTATTGCATTGATGGGGATGTCTGTCTCTTGTCAAAATTCTAGAAAAAATACTGATAGCATTTAGAAGACGATGTCTCCATGCGAATCTACATGGTGGTAAAGCATCAATGGACATGTCTTTGAGTGTGTCACAGAGGACGGGAGATCACTTTAGATGCGCCTCAAAAGTTGAGTGTGTCACAGAGGATGAGAGATTGCCACTTTATGTGGATTTCGGCGCTTCAGCCTTTTCTCTCTTTCGGTTCCACATGTCATTCCTTTCAACCCTCGCCACGCCCCTCGCCCCACCCGCCACCACCCATCCCTCACCCCATCCCTCACCCCATCCCTCACCCCATCCCTCACCCCATCCCTCACCCCATCCCTCACCCCATCCCTCACCCCATCCCTCACCCCATCCCTCACCCCATCCCTCACCCCATCCCTCACCCCATCCCTCACCCCATCCCTCACCCCATCCCTCACCCCATCCCTCACAACATCCCTCACCCATCCCTCACCGCTTATCTCACACTGTCCGCCTCTCTCTCAGGAGCCCGTGGAGCAAATGACTTTTGCTCACGCCGCATTCCAGAAGCCACACACCTTCCCCAACACCACCTTCGACCTCCCTTCAGACATGGAGTAAGTGAGAGCACATTTGAGGCGCCTCAGAAGGCTTGAGGTCCATCGAACGCGTTTTGAGTCGACTCAAAACACCTTCGACCTCCCTTCAGACATGGAGTAAGTGAGAGCACACTTGAGGCGCCTCAGAAGGCATGAGGTCCATCGAACGCGTTTTGAGTCGACTCAAAACACCTTCGACCTCCCTTCAGACATGGAGTAAGTGGGAGCACACTTGAGGCCCCTCAAACGACCTGAGGCCCTTTAAACGCCGCACACCTTTCCCATCGCTGCCTTGGATCTACCTTCTGACATAGAGTAAGTGACACCACAGCATCGTGCTACAGCCTACAGCCTGCTACAGCCTGCTACAGCCTGCTACAGCCCGCTACAGCCTGCTACAGCCCGCTACAGCCTGCTACAGCCCGCTACAGCCTGCTACAGCCCGCTACAGCCTGCTACAGCCCGCTACAGCCTGCTACAGCCCGCTACAGCCTGCTACAGCCCGCTACAGCCTGCTACAGCCCGCTACATCCTGCTACAGCCCGCTACAGCCTGCTACAGCCCGCTACAGCCTGCTACAGCCCGCTACAGCCTGCTACAGCCCGCTACAGCCTGCTGCAGCCACAGCTACAGCCTGCTATAGTCATGATTGCATCATGAGCCACCTCACAGCCTGCACGCATTTGAACCACCTGACAGCCTGCACGCATTTGAACCACCTGACAGCCTGCACGCACATGAGCCTGTGTGAACATAAGTCTAAACTCCGTGTCATTCTTTCCCCCCACTGGTTAGTAGCATCTACTGCCTTGTCATCTGCCACTCTTCAAGTATTTGCATCGCTGCCTCTTTCTTGGGTATCTCCTTCCTTCTCACTCCCTCGCTCACTCCCCCCCTCTCACTCCCTCCGATCCCTCACCCTCAGCTGCTCACAGCTGTGCTATGGCTTCTGCGCTCTGGTCCGTCAATCCACACTCTAGCCATGTTACTTGTACAAATCAAACTCTGACATATGCTAAAATCTGACGACAACAACGCAGGGTCCTCCATTTGAGCTGATCAATAGACTTCAGCCATGTTATTACGGTAGGCGAGCAGCAGTCTCAAGGAAACTTGTAGCAAAAGATTGACAGTAACGGGTCTGTTGTATTGTGTCCTCACAGCGGCTGGGTCCTCCATTCGAGCTGGCCAATTCGACTACCCCAGATTTCAATGGCATACCGGTATGGACGTCTAGAAAAATCATTGCCTTATATTTAGTAGTAATATAATTGGCATATTACAATGCAGAAAGCCGCAGCCTGATAAGGGCGCATGCCTGATAAGGGCACGCACAGTGAGTGGTGCCTGCTAATACAGCAGCACGTTTTTTTCTTATTTAAGTGGGCTGCCAACTGGTGCTTGTCCGAGCTCCTCAGATCTCTCTTGGGTTGAAGGTGCTGTTAATTTCACACTCTAAGTACCAGCATGATGCTTTGAAGCTGGCGGAAGCAGAGAGTAAAACAGCACCTGGGCATCAGTGGCACGGCTCTGTTGAAAGCCCCTGAGCATCAGAGGCATAGCTCTGTTGAAAGCCCCTGAGCATCAGAGGCATAGCTCTGTTGAAAGCCCCTGAGCATCAGCGGCACGGCTCTGTTGAAAGCCCCTGAGCATCAGAGGCATAGCTCTGTTGAAAGCCCCTGAGCATCAGAGGCATAGCTCTGTTTGAAAGCCCCTGAGCATCAGAGGCACAGCTCTGTTGAAAGCCCCTGAGGAGCACTGCCTGCCGCTTGCCTTCGCACAGCTGTCCCATCACCAAGCTGTCCAATCAAATCCATCTCCACTGCCACACGTCCCACCGCCACCCCTCCTCCCTCTCCTCCTCCTGCCTCTCTCAACCCCGGTTTCCCCTCATCCACACATTCCCTCCTCCCTTCCATCCCACCCACTCCTCGCCCAGCAAGCGCACTCATTTTCTCTGAAAATCGCCTCTCCATCCCCTCCAGCCCTTCACCGCCCACCAGCAGACCCTGACCTCCCAGCAGCCCTTGACTGCCCACCCGCCCTTCTCTGCCCACGTGCCCTTGACCGCTCAGCAGCCCTTGCATGTAGAGCACTTGAATCTCCTCAAATCTTCTGCCTGCCATGCCCGTGCCAACGCCACCACCACCATCAGCAGCAGCAGCAGCAGCAGAAGCAGAAGCAGAAGCAGAAGCAGAAGCAGAAGCAGCAGGGATGGAGGACACCAGAGGGGGCAGAACAGGGCAGCTCGAGCCAACATGAAGCACAGAAGACTCATGAGCAGCAGCTTCCTCAGCCTGTTGCGGTGCCTCCGCCCGTTGCGCCTCGGCCAATCCTACAAGCCCACGTGGCAGGCTTGCCGCCAGTCTGTGCTGAACGCTCTTGCCACCATCCATCACCAGCTTATGTGGCCCAGCAGTATCTGCTGTTGCTGCTGCTGTTGTTGCTTGTGACGCCACCCCGAAGGAGGCAGCGGTGGCAGCTGCAGCTGCTGCAGCTGCTTGCGACGCCGCGCGATGCCGCAGATTCGCCTCCACGTACGACCAAAGCGTCTCAAACCCCTCCTCCGCCTTCCCACACACCGCCGCGCCACCGTCAGCGTCGAGTCCGTCCGCGGCCGTTGCCGCGGACGCGTGGGCTGCGCCCGCGGGGGTGGCGTCCGCGAGGGTGGCATCCGCGGGGTCTCCGCGCGCGGAGGAAACGTGGACGCCGCGGGGGAACAAGAATCGCGAAGTTAAGTCGACCGCGGCCGCGGGACTCTGCGCGCCCGCGACTTCCCCCAATAGACCGTCGTAGTACCCGCTCGCGCTTTCCCGCGAACCCGCCGCCGCTGCGCCGCTGCGCGCTGCTGCGCCTCTAATCACTGCATCTACGCCCGCCGCAGCAGCAGCGCCGGCGGCGGAAGCACCAGCAGCTCCAGCGGCAGCGGCAGCGGTAGCAGCCGTAGCAGCGGTAGTAGCGGCGGTAGCAGCGGCGGTAGCGGCGGTTGCAGCGGTCGGGCGTAGCGACTCCAGCACCGCGGAGAGCAGGGGGGCTTCAAGGGTCGACCTCCCACTGAGTGCGCCGACGTGCGGGAATAGATAATGAGAAATGGCCGGACCAGGCGGCGCGGCGGGCGGCGCCGGGTGGGGATGCAACGCGGAGTCGCCGCGCTTGGAGCCGGTAAATACATCATGAGGTGACTTTTGAGTAGACTCAAAAGTCACGTCGCGCTTGACGTCGGTAAATACATCATGGTCACTGCGGCTCCGCTGGCGGCGGGTCATAATGGCGCTGCCGCGATCCCACCCCGCACCGCCGCCGCACGCGGCGGCGTCCTTAACACTAGTCGCGTGTGATTCGTCCGCCGTGCGCGCCGGGCTCCAAGGCCGTTTCCGACCCGGCTGCGCGCATGGCGGAGATCTGCTTGGCGGCAATCCGCCGCATGGCGGAGATCCGCGATCCTCTCCACCCCTGCGCGACTTGGGCGGAACCGGCCAGTCCGCCAAATTCGGGGTCAACGGGCCGCGCGGAGTTTCGGCGGCGGAAGCGACGCCGCTGGTGGAGGAGGCCGTCCGCACGACCGCCGGCGGGGGCGGAGGCACCGTGGCGGCGGCGGAAGCAACAGTCGCGCCCGTGCCCGCAGCCGTGACGTACATGCGTGGCTGCGCGACGGCGGCGGCGGAGACGACCATTTGGAGCGGCTGCTGCGGCGGCGGAAGGTGGTTGTGCCGGTTGCGGCACCAGAAGCGGCGCGGGGTGAGCGTGCGATCCACGCGTCGCTCGAGCACGGGAAGCGCGTCGAGAATCTCGCGATTTTCCTCCCATCCAAAGCCGGAATCGTCCTCGTCTTCCCCCTTCTCCCCCCGACCAGCGACCGCAGGTCGCGGCGAGCAGGACTCGCGACAGGCCCCAACGACGGCTCCATTTATCGGCGGCCGCCGCGCGGCGGTTCCTTCGGGAACTTCCCGCGCCACCAAGTCATTAAGCCCAGAGCGCCGGCCGTGCTTGGTCTTCTTCTTCGGCACCTTGTCGATTATGAGCTTCGCGGGACATCCGGTGGTGTCGCGCTCCGCGCAGTGGTAGTAGAACCTGCGACAGGAGGTACGATGTTGAGATTTAGTAGGGCGGAACAATCAGATTAGGGCAACAGTTGGACACGGAGGAGGTTCAGGCGGTGCGGCAGAACAAGGTGACGGAATACTAGTGCTCCCGAAATGAAGTGCTACGTTAAGATTACAAGACACAAACGAATTTGGGAACTGTATTGTTACACTAACACATAGGAATAACTGCAAAATATATTTTTTGAGAACAATCACGATTCCAGCTCTTGTAGCATACCTTTTCGCATTCTGAGATGAGAGGAATTTATGCCCGTATTTCTTCCACTGATACGACTCCGCCTTTTCTTCTTTGCTAGCTGGGCTGCCGGAAAATGCGCCGCGTTCGCCGCCACCATCTGTACCCCCAGGGGCGATGGGCTTTGTGATGTTGGAAGGTATACTCGCCAGGGTTACATTGTCCGCCAAGTGCTCTTCGCCGCTGCCGCCGCTGCCTCTGCGGCAGTCGCGGAGAGGATTTCGGCAAAAAAGGCGGGCTAACAATGCGGAGTCAAAATGCGACCAATTTGCACCGCTGGCAGCGGAATGTGACGAAGCCATGGATTCCATCTAAAGAGCTTTTGCGGATAAACTATAGCAGTCAAGCGTACGGAGCTTTGGCTGGTCGCGAGAACGTCACTGAATCGTCGGACGGTGGCTTTCTTGTAGTGAAAGATAATGAAGATTTGCGAGTATTTCTGGCGGGCAGCACTGAGTGATTGGAAGAACTACAGTACTTGCTTGGTGTGTCTGAAGCGGTCGGATGAAACTCTCCTCACGATCGAGACTCGAAGCCTTGCTGCGCCTCCATAACGGTTTTGGTATCGCAAGCAGCACCTACAGTGAGAGGTGGGGCTACCCCGAAATGCAGACTGCATTGTGCGAACTGCTTGTAGCCGAGGCACGAAGTGCAAGCTTCTGGCGTGGTGGTCTAAGTGGGGAGGGGATGGCTGTTCAGGGTGCTTCCACACAACACCGTGTCCTTGGCGGCCAGATTGACATTCTTTACAAGGTACTAGCTTCGCAAAGCTACAATCACCACAATCCTTTTGCACACCTGCATTTTGGCTGCTTGCAATATTTACAATTGTTGATGCCAACTTTTGCAGCAGCACACCTGGCGGGAACCCTCCCACAATTGTCGTTTCCGGGCAGAATAGGTTGTTTGCAAAATCCGAATATCCAGGAGTCATGTTATCGTCGTCACGTCACGCCAACAACGTCAAGGTCCTACAAGAGTGGCTGGCAGATGGCAGTACCAGCTTCTTGTAGGTTGGGGCAATCCCATGCTTCAGGCGTAATCTCACGCTCATACACCCGTGATCTACAGTTGTTTCATTTTTTTTTCTCTACAGTAAACAGCCTGCCCACTTCACATCCTGCCAAACATTATTTGCTGAATTGATTTAATATGAAGAGACAGTGTGTGAATTTGTGATTCATTTGCCTGGCATCATGGATGGAAGAAATACAGTTGTGAAAACACAAAGGATGTGTACAGTACAAAGCTTCTCCGGAGAAGGATGTGTATGGGATCCCATCCCAACCAAGCCATGTCGCACACTGCTACATAGCCTCTCCATGACGCGTCCCACACATGCAAACAAAGGGTGAACTGTACACCCTTATTCTCGATGGACTGGCATACGTTATACTGACAGAGACGCTTAGTGTAGCCGCACCGGACCAAAGGAGGTCCTATCACATACGTTATAGTGACAATTTGACCAAAGGCGTTTAGTCAAGTTTGAATACGTTCTAGAATGGTACTGGTATAATTTGAACGGTTAAGACAGTTATTCAGCGTAAACAGTTAGGGTGGCCCGATGCTTGTTTCGTCGCGTCGTGCGACTTTGCCCGCACCAAGTTATCGCACCAGCCCGCTACGTCCAAACACTGTAGCCAGTGCTTCCAACGGTGAGAAAGGTGAGAATGTTAACTGTACAATCTCATTCTGTCGTACGCGAGGCGACGTGGCAGTTCATAGGCTATTCATCTGGCAGCTGGTGAAGTCCCATAGCCACCAAGGGTGCATCTGGATGTCAGAAGTGGTTTGTCTCGTTATGCAGTGCGACACCCTGTTCGTACATCCTGCCCAGGGCCCAGTTCGGCAGGCATTCTCGCCATTATCGCCATTATGGGCATTTTTAACGGGCCCCCAAAAAATGGCCCCAAGAAACAGACTGTAGCTGCAGTGAAACTTCGGAAAAATGGGCCGAGTGTTCGGTTGGCATTAACTGAGCCAAGATTAATGGCATCAACCGAAAACGACACTTCGGAGAAGCCTGTATGCAGCCGCGCTGATGGAGCGCAGAATCACTGTTTTGGCAGCCCGGGCAGCCCTGCAAACCAGCGGTGGACGTCGAAAAAAATCGGCGAAGGGAAACTGTCCGTTCGATGTGTTAGTGATGGTGTGTTGGTGATGTGCGATTTTCTGCCCGCCGTGCGCCCCGAGGCGCGCCTTGTGATCATCAGCGCTGGAAAATCGCAACCCCTGAGTACAGAAGCGCTGATGATCACAAGGCGCAAGTGCCTTGGTGAAGATATCAGCAGTGTTGGCCTGAGAGGCCACGTACGCAAGCCGCAGCTGACCACACTGCTGTAGCTCACGAGCAAGGAAGTAGCGGAGAGCAATGTGCTTCGTTCTGTGCTCCAGTCTCTGCTCTGATGGAGCCGCGCTGATGGAGCGCAGAATCACTGTTTTGGCAGCCCGGGCAGCCCTGCAAACCAGCGGTGGACGTCGAAAAAAATCGGCGAAGGGAAACTGTCCGTTCGATGTGTTAGTGATGGTGTGTTGGTGATGTGCGATTTTCCAGCGCTGATGATCACAAGGCGCGCCTCGGGGCGCACGGCGGGCAGAAAACCGCACCCCCCAACTGCCACCCCCCAACCGCCACCCCCCAAACCCTAAAAACAGGGTAGGGAGGTAGGGGGGGGGGGGGGGGACGCGCGGCCCCCTGCATACTCCCCTCCCGTCGCCTGTCGAGGCGACGCTGGGGGGGGCCGCTTGCGGATGATCACAAGGCGCAAGTGCCTTGGTGAAGATATCAGCAGTGTTGGCCTGAGAGGCCACGTACGCAAGCCGCAGCTGACCACACTGCTGTAGCTCACGAGCAAGGAAGTAGCGGAGAGCAATGTGCTTCGTTCTGTGCTCCAGTCTCTGCTCTCGACACAAGGCCAGCATGGCCTTGTTGTCTACGTACAGCACTGGAGGGGAACGAGGCGGCTCTCCGAGGTCAGTCAGCAGGTAGGTGAGCCAGCGAAGCTCCTGTGCAGCCATGGCCCCGGCGTAGATCCCAGCCTCACAACTGGAGCCGAGAACAGAAGACGAGCGGGTAGCCCGCCACGAAACAGAGCCGGAACCAAGGCTGAAGGTGTAACCCTGTGACGACCGCTGCGTAGCCTGGTCGTCAGCCCAAGAAGCGTCTGCGTGCCCAGTGAGGACCACTGGACTCTGCCCTCCAAGCACAAGCCCCATGCCCGACGTACTGCACAAGTAACGCAACACCCTCTTCGCTGCAGCCATGTGCTCCGGTCTGTGTCTCCCAGGAGCAACATAGCGTGCGAGAATGCTAAGAGGGTATGCGAGGTCAGGTCGTGTGCAGGTCATCAGGTACATGAGGCAGCCAACAAGCTCTGGGTACGGGCCACTCGACTCTACGGACTCATCCGAAGGCAGAGCTGAGAGCGAGTGGCGAGTAGGCAGAGGAGTGGCCTGAGGCGAGGAGTACGTGAAGCCGAAGCGCTGAAGGACCTGCTGCACCATGTGTGACTGAGTCAGGGTAATGGTGCGGCGTGCTCTGTCCCGGGTGATCTGCAAGCCAAGGTAGCTGCGCAGTTCACCCAGGTCTGTGCACGTGTGTCTCTTCTGCAGCTCGGACTTCACGTGGGCGAGTCCAGCAGTGTCAGCTGTGGCAAAGACCAAGTCGTCGACGTACACGAGGATGTAGAACGGCGGCAAAGAAGTGTCGGTGCGCAGAAACAGCGACGGGTCGGCAGTAGAGGGAGCAAACCCAAGAGCCGCAAGTGTAGTCCTCAGTGTGTCGTGCCACTCACGCGGTGCCTGGCGGAGACCGTAGACTGGTCGCCGGAGGCTCCACTGGGTGCCAGGAGGAAAAGACCCAGTGAAGCCAGGTGGGCGACGCAGCCAGATCTCCTCGTGCAGGCTGCCCTGCAAGAAAGCAGTGCTGAAGTCAAGAGAGTGCAGCTCGTAGTCGCGGTGAGCAGCTATGTGCAGCAGTACCCGAAGAGTGGTCATCTTCGGGGTGGGAGAGAAGGTCTGAAAGTAGTCAACTCCCTGCCGCTGACTGAAGCCACGAGCCACGTAACGCGCCTTGAAGACAGGCGGAGAACCCGGCGGTCGCTTCACCCTGAAAATCCACATGCCACTGACGATGTTCGCCCCAGGCGGGGGAACCTCGTCAACGTAGGTGCCTGTGGACTTCCAGGAAGCCATCTCTGTGTCCATAGCTGCCTGCCACTGAGAGGAGTAGGGACCCTCTATCGCCTCCGCGTAAGAGCGCGGAGTCGGGATGTCAAGTGCATCCGGGTCTCCCTCAGGGGTAAGCAGTACGGACACGAGATGAGGTGAAGCAGCAGCCAAACACTGGAACTCCTCCTGCCTGTCCTCAAGGACGTCCGTGCCAAGGGCACACTCACCCCCGACGGACGGAGGACAAACAGACTCAGACTCAACGACAAGACTAGCAGCGTAGTCTAGACGACAGCGAGCAGCAAAGTCGACGAGATCAGCAACTAGGGCAGACGCAGCAGTGGACTCAAAGGAAGGGTCAGTGACGACAGTAGCAAGGAGACGCGTGACAGTAGGACTGGCAGCACGAAGAGAGTCCGACTCCGGGTCGGGAAGAGCAGGAAGAGAGGACTCAGGAGGAGAAGGCAAAGGGGCACGCAGAGGAGCAGTGGACGGACGCAGAGACATCCGGTGCGTGCCAGGGACAGGAGGAGGACGCTGACGCGAACCACGACCACTAGAGCGAGCAGGACGGACAACGCAGGCTCACGACGCTCAGCCAGACCTCCAGTAGGACCAGTGTAGGGAGAAGGAGCGGGCAGTGGGGAGGCCGGCTGTAACTGTAACTGTGAGAACTGCCACCCTGGCGCGTCAGGGGGGAAGCCAAGAAAGACGCAAGGAGCAGCACGAGGGGACAGCTTGTCCGCAGACAAGTCGCGGACAAACGCCCGAGATCCCCAGACACGGAACGCAGACGCATCGCCAACCTTCCCCGTCCACAGCAAAGCTGGGGAGGTCTCCGGCATGGAGACCCTGGGGTGAAGGTTGATCTGATGCGCCGCGTACCGAACCGCAAACGGCCACAGAAAATGGGGGGCAGCCGCATGCATCATGGACGTACGGGCGACGTCCATGACCATGCCAATGCGGCGCTCAGCAATCCCATTTTGCTGTGGAGAGTCCGGAAGCGTGAAGGTCTGGCGGATGCCTCGTGCACGACAGTAGGCTCGCAGAAGGCCAGAGGAGAACTCTCCACCTCTGTCAGAGTGCAGACGCAGAACAGGAAAGTCCGAGCCGAAGCTCTGCCTGAGCTGGAGACGAGCTGCGCGGATCCAGTCGATCAACACCTCAGTGACATCACCCTTGCTGCGCAAGGGGAAGACCGTGGTGTAACGCGAGTAGTCGTCAACCACCAGCAGGAAGTAGCGCTCGTGACCCTGTCCACGGACGCGGGCCGGGCCCCACACGTCCATGTGAAGCGTCTGCAGCGGGGCCTCTGTCGGAGGAAACTGGGAGGAGTGAGGGGCAGCCCGCTACCGCCCCTCGACACAAGGGACGCAGGTAGGGCCGGGCCCCAGAGGAAGGGGAGGGAGGGACCGGGGAAGACCGAAGACAAGGACACGGGAG